TACATGCCCTTGGCCGGAATTGAACCTGGGACCTTTCAGTCCGCAGGCCGACACTCTATCTACTGAGCCAAACGAGTTAGAGCTTAACTCATCTCTTAATATCATCTCCAAACAATATTATTTATTTTCTATTTCTTTATAGTCTGCACCTTCTGCTTTAGTTGGGTAAACATCCTTGTAGAATTCCAATTGTTATCCCTATTATATCTACATATGCATTAAGTTACCTCTTTCTAACCACTTCATTAAATACTGCACTTAAATTCTCCACTTTCTTTAAGTGGTTATTGATTCCAGTAACTGCCTTTTAAGCACTCTATTCCCACAACACTGTTAATGAGGTCTATATAGTCTCATCTATATCTGTTTTGTGTATGTGTTAGTCTGCCTTATGCCCCCATTAAGTTATAAGGTCTGTCTCGTATTTATTTGCATCATAGTTACCTTCACATAGTCATCACATTCTTTTGAAAGATGAGAGAAAAAGGGCCCTAATACTAAGAGTAAACTTTCCCTCCAAGCTCCTAATATTTTCTCTAACACCTTATTAAAACTAAAAAAAACCTTACAATAGTTACAATTCCTTTTCTGGTACCGAAAAACTGGCATGGTAACATGCAAGTAAATGTAGTTTCTAACAATGTCTTGCTGCTGTTATTATAATATATACACACTAAATGTCCAATGTTTAAGTAAAAACTAAACAAGATACTACCAGTATAATGCAGAAGCTAAAAAAATTAGCTATGCAATCTTAGTCCACCAGTGTTTTCTTTCAAAGGACAAAAGTGTTTACAACGTATTAAGTTCTACTTGGTGAGGTCTACTGTCCTTTTACAAATAAATCTTCAATGATAGAGACCTGTGAGGAAAAACAAACAAACAATAATATCAACCAACTACTTATGCTACTTGCTAAAGAGAATTGCAAAGAAAATAGGAGACATAATTCCTATCTTCTCTAAAACATTTTAGTCTAACAAAAGATTCAGGAAGAAAATAAATGAAAAGATGTAAGCATATAAAAATGCAAAAGCAGCTGTGTACAAATATTTTCTATTACATAAAGTAGTAATTATGTAGTGTTATACCCACCACACATGTACAGAATCAGGCTCTCCATCTCAGGTCCTGCATTTCCTGCATTTACTTTTCAGGGGTTACTTTTTTATTTCTACTCTCAGGACTAAAGACTGGTTCAGAAAAGAGTTCCGCAATCTCATCTTTTCTATTTCCCAAACTCTGCTGACACCAAAAGTGCATTTCCTGCATGCTTGCAAACAGGAATAAAGAAAAAAGTAATCAAGGAGAATATTTCTTTAACAGGGTCCCTGTTCCCTGTCCTACATCTTTCCTGTCGGATTCACACACAGTGGCAATTGCTTCAGCCATCACAACTACATACCTGGGAGCTGGGCTGCTTAGGCTCATCCATTCTCCCAGGAGACTCACTTCGGGCTCTGTGTCTCTCCGTCAAGGGGACAACACTGCCGGAGGGGCTAAATCTGTCGGAAGAGGAGCAAAAGGGGACTAACAGAAGAGCAGTGTCAAGGAACTTAAAAAATGGTGATGTTTATCCTCTTTATCCCATGGCTGAGAGAAGGGGAACAAACTGAACAACAGATGACTAAGAAATACTTTCAGGGAGTCAATAATAGGATCTGATTTGAAATAAGACAAGAAAGGTTTTTTGTTTTTTTTTTTTAAGAAAGGTTTGCCATAGTAAATTTAAGAAATACAGAATTACATATGAGATAGACCATATGACCTAGGGATGCTAAAGCTAAATATAAGTTCTATCCTTATGTAAGTATTGGGAACCATAAAAGAATAAATTAAAACTGGGTTCTATGTAACGATTAGGTTTTTGGTTGTTCCTTCCTTTAGGCCCTAACATAACTTGTTATATATTTCAGACTTTTGATATAGTAGATCATGGAGATTCAGTCTTTGCATTAAGCTATTACTTCTGATACAGTACTAACATGGGGGGGGGTGGCAATAAGTATTGTGCTCAAGAATATTTTAACTATTAAGAACACAAGAAGGAAAATAGCCAAATCAAGACTACCTGAACTGGATACAATATATACTTTAGAAATTTGTAACACATATGTCTCTCAAGACCAGGTATCAACCAACCGTTATAACTTTTTAAATTTTCATTGTCCATGCAGTCAATTTTAATTTATTTTTAAAAGGGGAAAAAGAACATATATGATCAATCTAAGTTGATAATACTTTCTTTTTTTTAAAAAAAAATGTTGTTTTTTATTGATTTTTAGAGAGCGGGAGGAAGAGAGAGAGGGAGAGAGAAAGATGGATGAGAGAGAACCATCTATGGGCTGCCTCCTATACGCCCTCTACAGAGGATCAAGCCCACAACCCAAGCATATGCTCTGACAAGGAATTGAACTTGCAACCTCTCAGTGCGTGGGAAGATGCCCAACCAATAGAATAGAGCCACACCAGCCAGGACAATACTTTCAACTGAAACTACCTTTAAATTTACTTAAATTAAAACTATTGCTATCTCCACCAAAAAGAAATGCTCTAATTACCATTAGAAAGAGAAATGGGAGCCATGGGACCTAGTAGCACTGGTGAAAAAACAGACTCTTGGACCTGTGATAGCAGTCACCAATGAAAGACAAAAGGAAGACATCAAATGACAAGTGAAGAAAGGAATAAAAACCATGTCCAAAGCTTTTCTTTGGAATAACTGTATTGTGATTACACTAATTTAAAAAGAACAATTACTGCTGGTACCATACCCCTTCTAACTTGATAGGTGGGAAGCAAAGAAAAGTAAACAGCACTACAAAGGCAAGTAAAACTCCCCTGAGACCACCTACCTGGGTGATAACACAAGGAAGAAGGGCAAACCTGCCAGGTTCCCAGCTGATGACCAGCCCTCTACCTGGAATTCCAAGAAAGCCTTGCTAATTACTGATACAGTGTGGCTGCAGATGCTATTCTGATTCATGGAAGTGTCTTATTTTACCATAGTTCTCGTAACACTGAATTCTTCAGGACTAGGAACTTCCTGCTTTATTTTTATTTTTTAAAAATGTTTTCATTGATGTTTAGAGAGAGAGGAAGAGAGAGGGAGAGAAACATCAATGAAAGAGAAACATCAATTGGCTACCTCTTGCACACCACCTACTGGGGATTGAGCCTGCAAGCCGGGCATGTGCCCTGACCGGAATCAAACCAGTGACCTTTGGTGCATGGGATGACGCTCAACCAACTGAGCCACACTGGCCAGGGCAAGGAGCTTCCTGCTTTAAAAAAATAAGAATGCAAGCCTTTTGGCACACCTCCAGTTTCCCCAACACAAACTTATTTCGGCTAAGAGCATCAAGGAAGGAAGATGCTCTCTGTACCACACAGGGGGCTTGCTTTAGTTATGTCTGTACAACAGCTGTTAGATGGGCGAACAAAACAAAACTTACCTGTCAATCTCACTGCTTGTTGGCCGAGTCACCTTGGCTCCTGAAGATCCTAAAGTGTAATTTTCCTGTGCTATGGAACCATGGCCCGTGGTGTCAATCACCATGGCTGTGACTTCCTCGGCACTGCTCCCATCTTCTCCAGAGGGCTGATTCTCAGGCCCCAGCCACTCCTCTAGATTTTCTGTTTTGATGTGTACTGCCCCAAGAACCCTCACGTCATCATCACTCCGTGCCCCTCGGTCTGCTACTCCTGTCTCTACGTACCACTGTCCTGCTCGGTTGATCCGAAGAATAGGTTCCCGGCTCTCTACATCAGAACTCTGTTCAATGATCTGAGGGCTGGTGGACTCCTCGGGAGGACTGAGCTCCCTGATGTCCAGCACAGCACTAACCTGACCTCGCCGACTTCCCTTTGGGGCATTTTGCCGTGGGCTAAGGGAGCGGTTTAGAGTTGGTGTAACCCTGTGAGACTCCGGAGGTCTCTCTGGATGCTTTGTCCTCGTGTGACTTAATTCTGCTTCGACCTCAGCCACATTAATTTTGAAATGAATGCCCTCTAGGATCTGTGTGCATTTGTCTATAATATGCTGCATTTGCAGAAAACTGGCAGCTGTCAGGTAGCTGATGATATCTGCCAGCTGCAGGCATATCCGCCCTGTGTAACAGAAAGAAAGGAGCTGTTCAAAAACAGTGGGGTTCTTGATGACCGAAATGGAGACAGTACTCATCTCGTTCAAGGACATGTGATCCCGGAAATAGGGAGAGCTGGCGGCCAGTACCACTTTGTGAGCCCGAAAAGCTTGTCCTTGCACGTTGACCACGATATCGCAGAGCCGGCCCTGCATGCGCAGCTGGTTTAGATGGCTCAGGACAGAGTTGCTGAAGTCAGGGATCTCCAGTTGTATGTTACCACCCTTCTCCATGGTGGGGCCTGAGGGTGTAGGCAGGCATTCAACCCTGCGAAAGAGGAAACCGTATTCTCATGAACAATTAGAATTGTATGCCCCTCATGCTTTCCAGTTCAAACGTGTTTAAAAACATCATTTGGCAAAATTTCAAAATCTCCCAGTAAAAAGAGACACCTGCCTTATGTTTAGATATGGAATAGAAAAACCAACAGGCTTTTTCAGTCTAGGTTTCACAGCAAGACACCATTAAACCCAAAAAAGTGATTGTTAGCCCTAGCAGGTTTGGCTCAGTGGATAGAGCATAGGCCTGTGGACTGAAGGGTCCTGGGTTTGATTCTGGTCAAGGGCACATGTGCGGTTGTGGGCTTGATCCCCAGTAGGGGGCGTGCAGGAGTCAGCCGATCAATGATTCTCATGATTGATATTTCTATCTCCCACTCCCTCTCCCTCTCTGAAATCAATACAAATATATTAAAAACACTCACACACACAAAAGTGATTGTTAGATTTCTAAAAATTCAAGCTATACCCATACTTTCCTTACTAATAAGCTATGCAACATCAAAACAGAGTTCAACAGAACAGAGAGGGGGAAAGCAGTTGTGAGTTCTTTTATTTTTAAGCATTAATCATAAGGTATTTGCACTGAATATAAAATCCTATGACAACTTTTCCTTGGAGGAAATAAGTTTTTGAATAAATGTGATTATGCAGATAGGTCGATTAGATATGCCTCTTCTTAATATTTTACTACTTGTGTGAGTTTATTCTTTTACAAAGTCACTACTATCCCACAGGAATGCAAGCCATTATTTTTAAGGATGCGCTGGAGCCCCCACAAAAAGGGTTGAGGTTTAGCACTCGAGGCAAACTCTAGGAAAGGTGCCACAGGACTCAACTGAGATGAGGAGACCTAACGTTCACTCTCAGAATTAGGAAAAGGTAGGTATACCTGCCCCTATCTAAATAATCCAATTTCAAAGTTGGAAATTTCAGGGTGGGGATGGTACTTTGATTCTGACATTTAGTTCCCCAAAGCTGGTAAAAAAAAAAAAAAATAGAGCATTTACCAAGTATGGCCAGTATTTTTACATTAAAAGGTTTTAGAAACACTAAGCCTATAATCGCATCCAACAGCTTTCCATGGTTGGGAGTAGTTTTATATACACCCCACTGGGAAGACACTAACTGGAGCCCAATGTGTTTCCATTTATCTGTAAAGTTAGGACATTACATAGTTACCGAAGACCTGAAACTTCAGGAATTTATCTGACAAGCTCACAGGACTGCCCGGCATTCACAACACACCGGTCAGTTAAAAAGGGAAGTGCATACACTGTTTTCAAGAACCAACTGTAGCCAATCTGACCTTTTTCCAAAGCGTTTTTGTTTGTTTGACAACTTTTAATCCAGTAAGAGCCTCTGTCGATGCCATCCTGAATTCAGATGTGTGTGTTTTGGAGCCTACACCAGCGCCTTTTTGTTTGCTCTTCCCGGCAGTGCCCCAGTGGAGGAGGCCCCTGGAGCAGGGTCTTGCACTACCGTCGGCGCTGGAGGAGTGGGAGCTGGAAGAGGAGAATCGGAACGCCGTGCGGTGGGCCACTCCGGTCCTCGAGTGGCTTCCGTCGGGGTGAGGAAGCGCGGGGAGCGGGGCACTGACTGAGCCGCTCACTGTCACCGAGGAGCAGGGGAAGCGGGGGGAGCCGGGCGCGCGGCCTGGGAGCGGGCCATCAGGTGCGGGGTACAG